AAATGTTTTGACCCTTAAATCCCAATAAACCCTCATAACTAAACCCTAATATAACATAATTAATCCAAACATAAATCATATAAAAAAAAAATAGTTTTGGAAAAGTGGCATTTTTGTAAAAATTTTAAAAGTGTAGTATTTTTGTAAAGTGGCATTTTTTGAAATTTAAAAAACAAAAGAGAGCAAAACATTATAAAAACTATTAAACGTTGATGAAAGTTATCGAACTATGGACATAAAAAAAAAAAAAAACTTGGTCGAGTTATTGAGTTTCACGATAAAATTTAACATCAAAATTATATTTACACATTATTATACAAAAACATCAAAAATGTTCTATGTTCTCATAAATAAATTAGGAAAACGTCAAAAATCTGTCTATTCCAATTTCAGATATATATACGAAGGTTGTTTTGAACAACTTGTTCATTTGATCTCTTCGATTTAGTTGATAAATTGTATTGACTAAAAAGGTGGAGTTTTAAGAAACTATATAAATAATAATATATTTCGCGTTTTTTATGTTAAAAAATATAATTTAACATCTAACCATAAACGACAATATATGGTATAAATTTTCATAAATTTCAAATAAATCTAAAATAAAACGAAAAAAATTATGAAACGGAAGAAGGAGTACTAAAGATGGTTTAAGCTAATACATGATTGACATAGAAATGGTTTTTTTTTAATTGTATTCTAACTAATTTGACGAGAAATCATATACTGTAAAAGTTATAAAGAAAACCAAAAAAAAGGTTGTGAAACCGTTCGAGGAAGGTTGGGGGAAGGTAGGGGTGTCAAACGAGTCATTAGCTCATGAGCTAGCTCAGTTCAGCTCAGTTTTTCGCGAGCGCGACCTATGTTTTTTAGGCTCATTTAGTAAACGAGTTAAGTGATCGAACTTAAATGAGTTGGCGAGTTAGGCGAGCCAGCTCAGACGAGCCGCGAGCTAGCTCACGAGCAAATGTTTTTAATTAAGGATTTATCATTTTCTATTTATATATTGTAAATATATATTAGATTTACTTACCAAAACATATACTCCCGTTCTTTTAT